TTAACTAATAAAAAACACAACAGAACAGTACTAGTTTTATAGTTTAATTTACAGTGATCAACATTCATTGTTGCAAAATGAGTATTGTCAGTTAACATGAAGAGTAGCAAACAAGTAGATTTACCAAGGTTATTTGAAAGGACAATGTTATCCATTATTGCAGTTATTATTATGTTTTAAGTAAAACTGTTTAAAAGTACAATGTAGTATTCAAGCTGAAGTGTCTCAGAAGCTTCCAACTGTGTTCAATATCTGTGTACATTTCTATCTAATTTAAAAACATCCTTATACAGTTAAATTTGGGATATTTATATTTTATTTTAATATGTATGAAATCAATGCAAATGAAAAAGAGAGACATTATCTCCTTTTATGAACAATGCTGAACCATGTGTTTTCCTGAATATCTGACAAATCTATGCTTTAAACTTCCTTTAGTGTTATAGTTATCAGATTTATAATTTACAAAATTTTGGGCAATATGACTCACTTTCTAATCTGTGGTAGAATACAACATCACACAAAAGGGAATCAGAGTGAAATGACCTGGTACTAAGTGTTTATGTCGCCATCACCCAATCAAGCTGGCACTACACTAATATAAATCCAATTGAAGTAATTACTGATAACTGTACATCTTCATATTTTAATATACATTTACTAATTAAACATAATTTGATTCCCCATCTTGTTTTAATAGTTTAATCTCCATTTTTAAGAAATAAAATATGACTGCTATGCCATTCAAAGACGAAACAGAAACTTTCAAAATAAGGAACATAAGTGTTCTGTGTATTCAAATCGAGTGAATGTGAAATACACTATGATTTTGTTTTTTGCTTACGAAAAAACAAGAAAACAAATTTTGGTAACTTTTGCAGTTTATCTTCACTGTGTTGTACAACTAAATGTCAGAAATAAGTCTGGCTTGCTTCACTGGCCTTTCATATTTTCAGGTAGCACTGGGTTTTTTTAGTATCAGAGTGGTCCCCAATCTGTTCCAGTGTATCATAATTTTGCTTTGACACATTTCCATCAAAAGAGTGTATAATAATCAAGCGGAAAAATACACTCAGCAGCCGATTATCTGGACTAGTTTTATGTGAACACCATAAACATTCCATGCTTTTCACAGGTGTGCCTCAGTGGAATTTTCTTATTATAAAGTCTTTTTTGACTGGTTCACCACCAATAAATGGATGGAGTTTTACTAAATTCACATTAGAAACGTTTTATGGCCATTATGAAATAACTATTTTATTCAATTCAAGCCAAATAATGTATGTTTTTCATAAAGGTGTATCTGCAAGTTAGAACGGAAGTTGGTCTTCCAGGTAAAGATGACATCATTTCAGGGGAATTTCTGATGCCTGCTCTACACTTACCATGCGAAGTTTGACTTGCTGCTTCAGATCAACAAGTCAAATAAATATTACCCAGTCCATTGGTTGAGATATTGTCGCATCAAAATTTGTCAACAAATCATTTCGTTTTTCTCAGGAAGTTGCGATTAAAATCAAAATGGCGGATGAATAACAAAGTCACGTGACCAATTTGCAATTGTCGCACCGCCAGATGGCACGCGCACCTGCCGTTGATTTAAATTTTTAGCATTTTTACATTAGACCCACCGACGTCTACCTGTTTAGTTTCATAAGCATGAAAAAATGTCGAAGTGGTTGTTTTATGTAGTTTATTGAAACTTTACATGTACTGTATTGATAATTTTGTTTAGTTATGTTTTAATTACCATGATTACCATTTATACTTTCAGTTGAGATCAATCTGATTTCCGAGGCTCAAACAGGATTCAGAAAAGGTTATAGTACATTGGATAACATATTTGTATTACATTCATTAATTTCAATTTATCAAGCTCTTGGAAAAAAACTCTTTTGCACTAATTTGTTGATTTTTCGATAGCCTTTGACACAATCTGTCATACATCTTTATGGATAAAATTACAAAAGGCGAATATTTCCGGGAAAATTTTTAAGGTAATATATAGCATGTATAGTAATGTTAAATCGCGCGTTAGGAATGGTAACGAAGTGTCAGCCGTTTTTGACTGTAACATTGCAGTGAGACAGGGAGAAAATTTATCCCCCTTTTTATTTGCTGTTTATCTAAACGATCTTGAGTCTTTCCGTTTGCTGAAAATGATGTTCAGAACTTGCAAGTTATGGAAAATATTTGCCGCAATTATTTGCATATCTATTTAAAACTTTTCGTTCTTTTGTACGCCGACGACACTATAATTATATCTGAAACGGCCGAATCAATGCAACAAGCCGTAAATGTTTTTGAAAGATACTGTGTCCGATGGAGGTTAAACGTTAATTTATCGAAGACAAAGGTTGTTGTGTTCTGCAAACGGAAATCATGAACATTACCAAATTTTCAAATATTTAACCAGTCTATTGGAATTCAAGATTTTTATCCATATTTAGGACTAACTTTTAACTACAATGGTTCATTTGAAACAGCGAAGAAACGTCTTAGCGAAACAAGCACAGAAAGCACTTTTTAGTCTTTATACAAAGATACGTAACCTCTCAATACCTGTCGACTTACAATTACAACTGTTTGATGCACTTATACTTCCAATTCTGACATATGGGTGTGAAATATGGGGATTCGGAAACAACTACATGCTGGAAAAAATCCAACTGCAGTTTTTCCGGAATGTGTTGAAAATTAGATCATCGACACCAAATTTTATGACATATGGAGAACTTGGTCGTAAACCAATAGATATCGTAATAAAATGCAGAATGGTGTGTTTTTGGAACATACTTCTCGCCAATGAAAATAAACTAAGCAGTATACTTTATCAAATTATGTTCAACTTAAAAGACGATCACATGTTCAAATGGATTGACTATATTAAATCGATTTTAGACAATTCCGGACTTAGCTATGTTTGGACTCAGCAATTACCATTAGATGTAAATCAACTAAAAATCGTTCTGAAAGAAAAACTTAAAGATGCATTCATTCAAAATTGGCATAGTCAAATTGACAACTCATCCAGAGGAGAATTTTATGATCTTTTTAAAACAATGTTTGGCTTAGAAAACTATCTTGTACAATTATCACCAATCGAACGTGAATATATTTCAAAATTAAGATGCTGTAATGTAAAAATTCCAGTAGAGCTGGGTAGATGGTACAATATTCCAAAAGACGAGAGGACATGTAATTTGTGTTTAAATGCTATTGGTAATGGATACCATTATTTATTTGAATGCAATTCTGTATTAGTAGAAAGTATCAGAAATCAGCACATTCCAGAATACTATGTTAAATATCCCAGTGCAGCAAAAATGAAAGGACTACTATCATTGGTTAATATTAATGTACTTAAGAATGTATCTTTATTCGTTTCAAAGTTAACGAAAATATTATAAAGTAAAGTAATTATTAAGATATTTCATTTCTAAGTTGGTCTATTTATTTCTATGATTGTATGTGATTGTATTTTGTATATATTTACCTCTTGTTTCACATGTCAATGTGACGGAGTGTTTTTAAATAAAGCATATATATATTGTTATAATTTCGTATTAGAAAAAATCTACTCGACCGACCCTAGGACTAACGTGAGGGTACCCAAATTGAACCTATTTTGACAGTTTTTTGTCCTACGTATAATTATGACCCAAACAAAATTTCCCATTCTGTGTTTTTTCTGTAGATGTATCCTTATTTACTATATAGTTCCACCAATTTGATTTTGAATCCATATTGAATCATAGAAAAATGGGTTTGATCTGTTTACCCTCCCGGAGCACCTGAGATCAACCCCGGTTTTTGTAGGGGTTCGTGTTGCCAGAGACACATAATACAAAACATATTATATTATGTCTCTGGTGTTCCTCAGACTTTAGTTTTCTGTGTTGTGTTTTGTGTACTGCCGTTTGTATTTTTGTCGTTTTTGTTTTTTACCATGACATTGTCAGTTTGTTTTCGACTTATGAAACATATATGAACATCCCTTTGGTATCTTTCGCCTCTCTCTTATCAATAGTAACCGTCCTCGAGGAGAACACGAAGAACATTGCTGAATTAAACGGATGAAGTATATACATTTATACTGCACTCGTTCTATTTGAGCAGTCAAAATGCGTTGACCGTATATTTCTATGTCATATACAGTCACTGACCTGATATCACTTTTCCTCATGAATATTTAAATAGAAATTGCCGAAATTATAATTAATTATTCATACGACCTATTCAACCTGTTCTTGTTTCCAATGTATACAACGACTCAAACTTATTTCTTTTGCAATTTTTAGAAAAAAAAACATATTTCACTTGTTAATATTTTTGGTTTGCAAACTATAAATCATTATGTTTTATGCTTATTGTTGATATTTTAGTTCATTCTCAAACAAATTCGTTCACCATCGATTGCGGGTTCAACAGGTAATGTACATTTCATTGTGTTGTATATTTCTCCGCCTGCATGATATGAGGCCTTTTTATAAAAGGGGGAAGTTTCCCAATATTTAAATCAAATAATAACATTAACACATTAAACAACAATTGAAAATGTTTTTTTTTTTAGATTGCAGTATAAAGACAATAATAGTGCATTGACTTGACATATCATCGATATAAGGATTCGGCCCGAAACGGGGAAAAAGCTCGGCAGAGCCTCGCATTTCCCCGTTTCTAAGCCTCATCCTTATATCGTTGATATGTCAAGTCAATGCACTATTATTGTCTATGTATTGTGTTGTCTCCTATACCATAACCGACATACATCGTACGTTTAGATGACGTCTTCTGGTATAGTAAGTTCTTTCTTTGTTCTGAGTTGCTATCCTTACCCTAACCCTAACCCTATATAAAGCACCTAACTACCTTCTGTACGCACTCCCTGCTTTATTTATGGTATGTCACATAGAAAGTCTTATCATCTCCTGTCCTATCTTAAACAGTTCTTGCCGAATAACTGCTGTACAGGAAAAATGGAACGTGTTGGGGTGTTTATGTTAACACTAGTTTTTATGAGTTTAAAAGTTATAGGTATACATGGGATTAATTCTAAGGACAGGCGGCTTCTTATGAATGACCCGGATGTTATTCATCAACTTGAATTGAAAATCCAGAACCTGCAGAATATTGTAAGCCAGATACAACAGAACGAACACAGTATGTTAATTAAAAGAAGGGAATATGGAAGTGAGGATGTGTTGTATATTTGAAGAAGAAGAATATGTTTATGATTTTAAAATCAAAACAATAGGATTTAACTGCTTTTAAACAGGAAAGAAATACACGTGTCAACACTGAACATTCAGAAAAAATAAGTAGATGCGCATACAAATCTACACTATGATAGATATTACGCAGTCACCAGTAGAGGGGCATTGATGACCGACTAGTTTAAGTAGTCACTATAAAATATATAAGAAGATGTGATATGATTGCCAATGAGACATCTTCCAACCAGAGACCAAATGACGTAGATGTAAGCAACTACATGTGTAAGTCACCGTATAACCATCAACAATGAGCAAAACTCATACCGTAACATCTAAAAAAGTTCAAACGAGAAAACCAACGGCCTGATATCAAAAACTATAAACGAAAAACAAACATAAAATACATCAACCAACAGCATCCACTGGAGTACAGGCTCATGCTTTAGGACAGCCATATAAAGAATGTAGCGGGGTTTAAAATGTTTTCAAGCGCCCAACCTCCCCTAATCTTGGACAGTGGTGTAAACAGAAAGATTTGACGCATTAGATCGACACAAAGTACGAAAAACAACTAATTAAAACCATACTAAATATTACAAATATGTACTTTCACGGTACTACAATCTGTCGATACCTATAGTTTGGCATAGCACAAGGTCATGTTTTTCTCTGACTGTTAATGACGTCTTAACACTAAATCCATTGGATGTTGGATATGTACTGATTGACATTTTAGTCTTAGATACATGATTTTTTTCATTAGTTGTTATTGGCTTTGAACTAACTGTCAGTAACTGCGAGTACTCTCAGATCTGTACTTAGTGTATTTTTTGTTTTTGGGATATACATGTATAAGTACCTGTCCACGTCCACTATGTGTTTTTGTTAGATGTATTTCTATTTGTATCCATCTGATGATTTAAGCTTTTTTCAACTGATTTTTATAGTTTGTTCTTATGTTGTGCTGTTACACCACTGTCCCAGGTTAGGGGAGGGTTGAGCGCTCACAAACATGTTTAACCCCGCCACATTCCTTATGTGCCTGTCCCAAGTCAGGAGCCTGTAGTTCAGTGCTTGTCATTGGTTCACGTCTGTCATTTGTTTTTCGTAATTGTTTTGTTATAAATTAGGCCGTTAGTTTTCTCAATTGAATTGTTTCATATTTTTCATGTCAGGGCCTTTTATAGCCGACAATACGGTATGGGTTTTTCTCATTGTTGAAGGCCGTACGGTTGCCTATAATTGCTTACATCCACTTTATTTGAACTTTGATGGATAGTTGTCTCATTGGCAATCACACCTCATCTCCTTATTTTTATATAGACGTAGATGTATGAAACGATAGGTCACCGTATGGTCTTCAGCAATAAGCAAATTTCATACCGTATAGTTAACTGTAAAAGGGCCCACCATGATAAAATGTAAAACGGTTCAAAAAAGAAAACCAACGTCCTGATGAACACAACAATAAACGAAAAACAAATAGGATAAGACAGGACTTGAATTACAGGCTCCTGTCTCCAAACAGGCACATAAAGAATGTTGCGGGGTTTTACATGTTTGCGGGCGCTCAACCCTTCTCTATTCTGAGACAGTGGGGTAACCACACAACATAAGAACAAACTAGATGCCAGTTGAAAAGTCTTGACTATTTAGATCTACACAAAGTACGAACAAGAGAACACATGCTGAAATAATTCGCCTGCTTTACTTATCATGCTTGAATTTAAGTTAAAAGTCTGTAATATGAAAGTTTTACTACGACTATCCCATAAACTAAACATTATCAATGATCCATGTAAATGAACCCTGCCAGACAACATGTACACCAGGTATGAAGCATTCAGGTCTTCTACCTTCTGAAATATATAGAGGTTATGGCTCGATTTCTGCGACAAGCAAGCGAGACAAAAAGACTAAAGACACAAAGTACCGATCTCAGAATATAATCTCAGTTAACAGCTAATGGAAGTTAGTTTCACGCAAATTACAGCTAATATATAAATCCTGTTTTCAGACTAAAATACCAATCATTGCACGTCCAATGATTTTGGACGTGTAAAGATGTGAAACACACTTTGATAAAACATGTACTTGTACAATGCCAAAAAGTTGGCGAACTCGGAGATTGTGAGTTCGAACCCCGCTCGTGGCAAGGTTTTGCCAGTTTTCCTGTCGGTTTAATCACTACGGGCAACCGTTACCCATAAAAACTGACCCCCTAGATATTCGCGAAAAGCGGCGTTTAACACAAACAAATAAAACAAACAAACAATAGTATAGACCACCAATGTTCAAACCCCACCGTTTAATCCATTCAGAAAATATCAATCAAGAAAAAACTTTGAGGAAATCGCATGATCTTCAAGCGGAGTGAGATCGGATGCGTCGACCGAGTAAGATTCATACATGCATCATCTACCATACGAATCAACACCTAGTCAAAATGTCACACTAGGAGGTGAATATGACGTCATCGGTTAATTTGTAGACGACTATTATGGTAATTAAAACTCTAATACAGCGAACTCAGGTGTCTCGAGAGTTGTCACATAAATACATTGTACCGGTCAACCAGTTCTAGACAGTGACCGTAAAACTTGAGTGACGATTCCAGTCGTGCTACTTCATAACTATGCTGGAGCAGTTTTTTCGTTATGAACATCCCTCTGTTAGGAAAACTGAAATCATCACGTTTGTCATAAACCATCTGTCTATCACAATTAATGCAGATATGTAGCAGATCTTTGATTTTGTCTCCGAAGACATTCGAACAGGACAGCAGTCGTTCCTGTGTCTATTTCACAAAGGCCTCGTGTACATCCACCCATTGCTATATGATAACATCTGCAATATACATTATTTTCAGATAAATCCTACATTGGGTTTCATGCTGAGCTGAGCAATGGCTTACAGAACCTTCCACATGATACGGTAATCGTTTTTGATAAGATTGTAACGAACGATGGTGGAGCGTATGATTCCATTTCCAGTGATTTTACAGCCCCTGACGATGGTTTGTACAGTTTCGCTTGGACAACGCTGACGAACCCAGGACATATTTTCCATACCCAGTTAACGGTTGATGGTCGTGTCATATCAAGGAGCCACAACAATGCCGAAAGTACAACTGATGGCAAGACGGCAACTAAAAACGTCGTTGTACATTTGAAAAAAGGAAATCGAGTGCGGATTCAAACCTATCAAAGCTATGGACATATACTGCATGCAGATTGGTCTTCATTCTGTGGATTTAAGGTGTAATATAATAAAAGAAAATGGCCAATCGTTTTTGTTTACTACTTATGAATAATTAGAGGTTCCATACATTCAATAAGACTATCTATTGAAAGGATTCGGGCAACGATAGAACCATCTATTTTAAAAAGTTCTGTAGTAATAAAGGCTGTGACTAGAACAACAAAGCTTTCTGCTAAAACAACAATGTTTTGTTTGTTTCCGATCTTATAATGTGTATAAAAGCAGATGTGGGGTTTCTGTTTATGAAATTGAATTCTTTTGTTGAAGTGCATGGTAAGACTCTATATCAACAAATTTAACTAATGTCCGTTTTTAGTGTCGTTGAGTGTCTTCTGGTAACAAGGTCAAGAAACAGTAAATGGGCTATGTCATAAAATTTTGCATACAACATTTTCTCGTTGAACTATAACGGAAAATCGAAAAATAATGAATTTATCTCTTTTATCATCTGAATTATTACTGATTAAATTCTTTCAAAATAGGTGAACATTTGGATAGAAAGCACATAAAATCGGCGAAAAACGTTTTTAAATTTGTCTTCAAATCATCAAATCTCCAATTTCAAATACATAGATTTTCTTAAAAAAATTATATGTTGTTGATATATAAATTTCCGTTTTTTAAAATGATATGAAATAATCATAGGGTCACCGACTTCGTTTTTGGTCTATCAACCAATCTGTTGTAAACATAGTTGATAGTGAAAAACGTCAGAAATCGACGTTTTACGGCCTGAAACGCGATGACGTTACGATTATTTCGACGTTTTGTGGTATCAGTGTTTTCACATAGAACACCACTTTGAATGATGTATACCGTAAAATCGATGTCGGTGACCCTGTCATTATTTTACATCATTAAAACGGAAATTAATATATCAACAGCACATATAGTTTTTTTATAAGAACTGTATGTATTTAAAATTAGAGATTTGATGATTTTAAGACAAATTTAAGAACGTTTTCCGCCGATTTCATGTGCTTTCAATACAAATGTTTCCCTAGTTTGAAGAATTCAATCAGAAATATTTCAATTAATTAAAGAGAGACAGTTCTCTATAAGTTTACATATTGCTTAACGGTTACAAGTCTGTTGATCGCTTTGAACGAGAAATACTCAACATAAAACTGTAAATGAGCGTAAACAATGCTTTCCTGATATTCTGATATACATTGCTTAAATTGATTGTTGGTTGCTTAACGTCAGTGGCAAATATTTTATGCATTTTCAGGAGGACATATTTACATCGATGAAGTTGTTAGAACGTGAGTCTGACAAAGGTCTTCAGTTTCAGTTCTACTCTTTGAAATTTTTTTTTCGGATGTCCGAAACAGATGAAGAAACCGCAGCCAATACTGGATATTTGACACCTATTTCTTATTTTGAGATTGCTTAATTTTGTAGAGTTGACCTTTCGTCACATTCTCTTTTTTTTAACACTTTTTTTTTCGAATATATGAAGAAACAAAGGTAGGTCAGTGTACATCTTTAGAATTTCGGCTGTTTTGGTAAAGAAGCTTGTTGATTTGCCAGACATATATTTATGCATAGCTAGAGATCGAATAGTTTCGTTGTTTTTGTTGATATTTGCAAACATGAGGCCGATTTGTTTTTTTTGTGAATTCCGGAATTTAGCAGAGGAGCTCCTTGGAGTAGGTATACCGATGCAGATGATATTCTTTTAGGAGGTAACTGTCTTTTTCCCCTTAGAATATCGAGGTAAAAGCTGGATAAAAGCGTCATTTCTTTTGAGTTTACATGTAGTGTTTCAAGCCCTATATAGCAGTTTGGTTTGATGTATGTATATAGGGTTCGTCTTGCTAAGATAATGCGGTCATCTATGTTTATTCTTGGTTCTTATTTTGATGATCTTATTAATCCTAGATGAGTTCAGAACAAGTTAATTCAGTCGGAATTAATTGTATTATATGTCTATGATTCAGTATTTCCCATTTAGAATGCTCGACATCTTCAGGTTTATTTATGTGTTTTCCCAGTCTTTGTTATAACGTTGCTCGCTTGCGGATCTGTTGGGTAGTTGTGGACAATACCTAGCATTTCCTGAATTTCCTCCCTGTTCGTGGAAAGAAGTACGATATCATCAGCGCATATAGGACATCCATCATAGAAATTTCATATAGGAGTATCTAAATTTCGTATTTGCCGTATCGATATAACATATCCTTTAAAGTGTTGTTACAAAGATGCTTTAGATGATATAGCTTTCCCGAAATATCTTAACATGCTTCAGCAACTATTAAGGTTGCCATGTTTGGACATAATCCTTGTGTAAAACCAAATTGTGATGCATGAAGATTGATCAGATTTCATAGGCTGGCTTTATCCTAAATGATATATTCAAATACTTTTCCGATAAAGAATGTAACTTTGGCTGTTATACCACGGTAGTTTTCTACTTCATAGAATGCTTTGCCTTTCTTCAGAACTGGCGAGACTGTCTCAGTTTTTAAAAATGATATAAAAAAGTATCATTAGCATTTTACAGTTTGTACTGGATTTAATTAAATTATTTCCACAAGATTGAGACACAGAGATATTACAATCATAATTTCTTACCATCTATTCAACCAGTGGCTCTAAATAGCCTGTGTCACTCACCAATAGAATTCATGACAAAAATATATTTTGTTGATTTTTTTTGCCGATCATTTTTCTGTTTACAGTTTTCTCTACCTTCTTTAGTTTTTGCCCAAAAGTTGAGAACACAGAAAAAGGATAAAAAAACGTATTTAAGGACACTTACTTCAATAAAGAGTCTACTAACGATTTCAGCAAAATTTGAATAATTTGTAGAGCTTGTCTTACTGGTCATTCTTTTAATTTCTAGTTATTTTTAAGGCAAAAGTCAAAAATGCAACAATGGTAAACATCGTCAGTAAAGAGCAAGAATTCCAATAAGGAGTCAACTGTTATTGATTTGTTCCGCTATTTAAAGTGTTTATATATCCGATTGAATTATAGTTTTCAATATAGCCTTTTCTTATATCTTATTTTTGGCGGTTTTAAAGATAATAAACAACATTTGCATTTTACCTCTATGTTGTATTTTCATACATGTCAGTCATGTTGATTGGACACATTTTTAAAACTAGATACCCAAATGATGATTGTGGCCATGTTTCAGATTTTTTTTGTAAAAATTAATGGTCGACTGAATACGGATGCTGGACGCCAAGTGATGAGAAAAGCTCACTTGGTCCTTTGGGCCAGGTAAGCTAAAAATTCTACCTTACCTTTTTACTTCAAATCATTAGAGTAATATTTTATAAAATTTTGATTTCCATCTTGGACCAGTGCATGTATTAGTCCCAGTTTACATATGAATTATATGCAAGTGTATTTAACAAAAATTGAATAAATTTGCTTTACTTTAAAGTTTTTTTCTTCTTTTAAGGACACATAACATATTAAAGGTTAATGGTAGATAGTTACGGATATGGCATTTTGCACTATCTGCAAGTTATTTACACATCTATCATACAATGAATTTAATTCAGAATTCTCTCCCAGCCTGATTGACTGGCTAACAACACAAACTTTAATTGTTTACACATTGTCATTTGGTCCTGCTGGATTTTTTTCTCATTGGCCTCTACACAGAAAACATATCCAAGGCCACAAAAAAAGGGGTGAATACAGGCACTGAATAAGGATCGGCAGTTCCTTCCTCACTAGAGGTACCCAACATGTTCCTAATGACAAGTCAAGTTCTAGTGATACTTAGATTTGGTGATGTTCTTAACTGTTTCATTTGATTTCCACCCAGATGACCTTTTAGGATTGTTTACAAAAAAAAACCACTCAGTGACCCTATGATTATTTTGCATTATTGAATTTGAAATGTATCTGGCAACATAACTAGTTTACCAATTGTTCAGAAAATCTACAGACTGGTTGTTGAGAAAGGTGTTTTACCCATATTAAGGATTTAATAATGCTTCAGCAAGTGTAGTAGTTATATACAGTTTTTTTTTAATTTTCAGTTAGCTCAACATGTCCATGTTATATGCCAAAAATTACAAAAGTCTGTGACATAGCTCATTTACTCTTCCTTGAACATAACATGGATTGATTGCTGCTACTTAAACATCCAGAAACAAATATCAAATGCATTTTCAGGACAAAAATGTGTTAATGAGATATGTATGTACACAGCTTTGTATTAGACTGACACATTGAGTTAATGGGATATGTATATACCCAGCTTTGTATTAGACTGACACATTGAGTTGATGAGATATGTATATACCCAGCTTTGTATTAGACTGACACATTGAGTTAATGAAATATGTATATACCCAGCTTTGTATTAGACTGACACATTGAGTTAATGAGATATGTATATACCCAGCTTTGTATTAGACTGACACATTGAGTTAATGAAATATGTATATACCCAGCTTTGTACTAGACTGACACATTGAGTTAATGAGATATGTATATACCCAGCTTTGTATTAGACTGACACATTGAGTTAATGAAATATGTATATACCCAGCTTTGTACTAGACTGACACATTGAGTTAATGAGATATGTATATACCCAGCTTTGTATTAGACTGACACATTGAGTTAATTTTTTTACATGCCTGCTCAGACACATTATTTTAAAACCTTCTTTCTTCACACTCCTAATTGAAGCTTTCTTGGTGGAGAAGCAGCAAATACTCCTTTTAATGTTTTTTTGTTTTGTTTTTACTAAACCATGCATCGAAAGCATGACCTCAAAACTATGCACATCATTTAAATACGAAATATGAGCATATGTGCAGCTGCATGCGTGATTCTGGATTTGTACACCGGTTGTCAATTTACTATTCATTTTTGGTGTACAAAAGTCTGTTCTTTGCATATCTGTGTACAGTATTGAAAAGTGATATATGTAATTATTTTGTGATCTAAGAAGAATCATTTTAAGGCACATCTGGATCAATTGGAGCTGTGGTGAGGAAAGTGCAAACTTTAAATAAAATATGTAATTC